CGCATGAAGTTCACTACATTTTTCAAACTGAGGAGCGTTGCGTGACGACAGAGGCGGCGGAGGTTAAAATGTTATGCGGTATGCATTTATAATCAACAATATATACACGCAGATGCTCGGTGGACATTTTGCCAGATATGACAAGCTACAAACATCCTGATATCTTCACAATGATCGACGGTGTTCGAAGCCTTCCAGGCTTATCAAGCACATGGTTTGGATACTTAAAAACTCTTCCAGTAAAAGCAGATCGAGATGTGTTCATTGTATCCTACCCAAAATCAGGTAAGACGTTGAACGATTCGGTGTGGCAACTTGGCTTGTTGCTACAGTCTAAAATAAGTCTACGGCAGTCACAACAAAACAAAAGAGAAATTTAAAAAATCGGTATTTGTGTTCTGTAGCCCATGTAAAATGTCGCCAGCGGTTTGCAGACATAAGAACTATCACTTGGCATTGCTTCTATAAAGCCAAAAACTTCTTGATACTTAGGCTAAAATGACATATATTCCTTCTTTTATGTCAATTTTATATCTAACGCAGGTACTTCATGGACATCAGAAATAATGTGGCAAATCTACCACGAGGGGAAGATAGATTACAACTCGATTCATAATCGCGTGCCGTACACGGAAAGTACCCCCCTCGAGCACAACTTGGACACAAATGAAAAACTGGTGGAGTTTTTCCTGAATCATCCTCAGCCGCGTATTTTCAAGTTTCACCTGCCGTATCATCAAGTACCCATGGGTGATGATGCCGATGATAAACCCAAGTACATCTACGTGTTACGGAACCCAAAAGACGTAGCAGTGTCGTTTTACTATCACTATAAAGGCTTCAAAATATTTGGATTTGCGGATAGAACATGGGATGAGTTCTTTGAAATGTTTATCAATGATCAAGGTAAAGCTACTACAACCACAACTGACTACTGAAGAAAGGAATGGTCGGTAATGATTATGATGACTCATTATTTGTTTTAGTGCACGGCAATTAAACTATGCAGAACTATGGGCTATTACAAATCCAGCATTCTGATTGGCAAATTCATGTGAAGTAGTATGGAGGTGTTTCAATTTCAATGTTTCAATGTAGTTTCAATGTATCGGTATTTTGTTTTGTAGATTTGATAGAGCGGATTTGCAAAAAACACACACACAAAAAAAAAACACGTCAACTTCGCGCTGTTACCGTACCGTGACGGTGGTGCATTTGTTCTTGAATATTTTTCAATTTTAACATTGCATTCCTATCATAGCTTTGCGTTTGTGCAACAAGAGGACCGAATGTTATAGATAAACGCACATCGTTAGCTTTTTATAAAGATTCCTCTCACTAAGTTGGTCCACGTACAAAAAACTTCGATACATATATATATATACAGCCTTTTGCAAAAATTATGAGAATTGTTGAAATATCTAAATATCATAATATCGAGTGCATGATGGGTAATCCCTGCCCTTAGTCCCCTGTCTTTGTAGTTTAGCTTTTTTTTTGGCGACAGACTTATCCGTAGTTCTGAACATTTTCTCGATGTCAACAATGAATTATTCTAGCAAACCTTTTGCAAAAATTATGAGAATTGTCTAAATATCTAAATATCATAATATCCATATCCATATATTGTCTGGAACACGAAGGTTTTTTTTTTATATAAAAATGTCTCATAAGTTGTGCAAAAGGCTGTATATACGCATAATTTTATAAAAGCATAAGTTGGTTCTTTTCTTTTAACATTGCATTGAAAATTCGTTACAATATAGTCAGACATGGAACGGTGTTGCTGTTGTTTACACGACATTTTGGGTCAAATTTATTTAAATCTTGAGAAATTTTGTATTTTTTTATTAACTCGATCTATAATGACCAATGACAAATTCGTACATAATAATCAAACAATCAAGTGTTGATTGGGTCAGAGTGATCACGTGGTCAGATTAAAACCTTGTTTGAGACAAGTTAAAACATCTATCATGGGTTTCCTCCAGCCTACTCGGCAATATATAGAATCAGCTACATATATTTATAGCAATGAGCATGTTATTATTTCTCTATTTGCCATTATGCACTGTACTAGCTAGCCCGACTTCACGCTGTTACTCAT